ACAAAACTAACAGGCTGTACTTTAGACTCTTTACGTTTTTCATCGTCGCTATCCGAATCCATAAGTTCAATTGATTTTACTTCTTTAGAGACATGTGTGTTATTCTTTTTTATTTTCAAAACTCTCTCCCATGATCCGTCAGCACAAATTATAATTTCTTGGTCACCGTCTTCAAGTCTAGGACTTGTCACGATTTCCATAAAATAACTTTCAATTTTTATTTCATTGTATGAACAAGATGCATTACAAATTGGGCAAAACCATGTTGATTTTTTTCTCGTTCATTCTAATGAATGTATCTGCATCAAAACATTTTATATGATCACAATTGATCGATTTTGCAGGTATCTTCATTCTAGTTCTACTCATTGGACATAACAAAGAAAAATGATTTGATGTGATGGAAAAATCTGGATCAGAATTGATTAATTTATCAACAATCTCATTTTTTGTATCCTGTGAACTCTTTGCCTCTTTATCTTGAAGATTTTTGATTAAAATATCTGCACTTATTTTTTTTACAATGCATATTGTAATGGCATATTTTTTTCCATCAGGAGTCCAATTAATTTTGATCAGATTTGAAACATCAGGACTTAAATTCAGTTGACAAGTACAATCAATAGGGCTTGCAGGTCGTCTAAATTCAGGTCGTTTTTTTTAAAGGAATAGGTGGCAATGGACAAGGTTGATCTCCAACTCGAACATAGAGTCGATTGGGAAAAAAATCTGAGACCTCAAAACACCCGGGTTCTATTTGACAAATTCTAATTTGACATTGATAGAGACATTCTTGTTTTGAGTTTGAAATATCACGATTTAAAGATAACAGGTTTATTTGCTCTGCAGACATCTTGAATGTAAATACAAATTCTTTTAAACCTAAAATAAAATATTATTAATAAATATAATTAACTCAAAAAGAGTGATAATAAATAAATTTATACCTTTAGGTGGATTTTTTAATGTACATTGGTTACCCAGGCTATTTAGAGGAGTTAACCCAATAATTTCTTCAATAATTTCAAAAAAATGGCAGTTTTTTAAACTTGTAATCATTTAGAGAATGGAATAAGTTGATGTGTGTTGATTGTAAAGAGAAGTGCGGTGGTTGGTTCATATTTTTTTTAGGGTAAGTAAATGACTGACAATCTCTGATTTGGTTAAATTTGAGTAAAACAGGGCTTCAAATTACTATGCAAATTTGGTTGTATAGACTGAAATAATTCAACTATTTTTGATTTTAATTCTGCAACGTTGAGGTCTTATTGTGTACTGTACACCTTAACAATTTAATTGCCTGATTAATTAGTTCAGATCTTGTTCTTCTGATATTTTGATTAAAAGCAGCATAATCTCTTCACTAAAAAAATAACTCTTAACATCTAAAAAAAAAAAAAAAATAATAATTTTTTATTAGGTACATTTATAGTTATGATTAAATAAAAATAAATAATATAGAATCATCTTTATATTTTAAAGATATAACATACCTAATTCTAAATTTTTCTGTTAATGTTTTAATAATAAAAACCTAGTCATTATCTTCCAATATAATTATGTATAATAATGAAAAAGTTTGATAGACTATTGTAAAAGCCTATTATTATTATTTTTATATAAAAACTTGGTTTTTCTAACCTTAATCATATTCAAATTTGAGACTAAATTCATTAAACCATGTTGAATTATAATTGTTAGCTAAACATTTCTATTATACTTAACTATTACATTCAATGAATTTAAAAATACATATTTAAATCTATGCTCTGACCCAAACAATAATTAATCCTCAATATTTCTATTTTAACTTTTTTTATTTTATCACATTTAACCAACTTCTTATTTAATACGGTGTATATCATTACTTTATGATTAAAACATTTTAATTGGCACTTAAGTGTGAGCCTGTTAATAATACTTGTAATATTTTTTAAACTTGAATGTATTAAAACTAATAGAAATGATAGCATACAGAGTATAACAAAAAGACCAGACAAACAAAAATGAAAAATTAATACATTCAAAACATATGAAAAATATAAATATATAATTAATAATTTAATAATTAAACTCATGCCTGAAAATTTCCAAAAATAATATCATAAAAAAAGTAATTATATTTCAAATTAATTTACTCCTAAAAAATATTGGTATTTTAAAATTTGCAAAAAATACTGTACTTGTAGCACAAACGTCTATGACTTATAAATAAAAAAAATAAAATGAAAAGTTAGAATAAGTTATTTAATTTACAGGTTTTATGTTACACTCTGGATACACATGGTGTATCGCCGCATTGATCTGACACAATCGAATGCAATATAAAATTGTCGTATTACTATGATACCTTATGAATAGAAATACATATAGTATATATATATATATATAGTACACATAAATAGATAATGATATGGCCAGTTAACACTAAAATAATGCTTGGTTGTTGGCTTATAGTAAGTTGATATTTTAAAACTAAAAATGTATTAATAAAAAAAAAAAATCAGTTCTTAGAAGTTTTTATGTTGCAACAGTAGATTTCGGGAATCGATGTTTTTTGGGGAGACTTCAAATGTAAATAACATGAACATTTTCAACACTAATAGATTCAATATCTTGTTTATTGCAAAAATAATTTAAAAAACGAACATGGATAGTGGGTACTAAACCACACCATTTCCTAACAATAGTTCTCCGAGTTGTATTAAACAATTTGAGAATGGTTACACAATGATTACCTGTAGAAACGAGTAGGTACCCTGCGCGGACGAACGGTGAACGTGAAATAGTGATATTCGCATTCGTCTTTAATGAAGCCGTTTAAAAAACTGTGTCGAAGTGGCGTTATCTGCGGCAATAAGAAGGCTTAGCTTCCAATGACCGTGTTGCTTAGCGTAGGCGTATGAAATTACACGGCCAAACGATCGCATGCGCGAAAACGAGTATTTACTAAGACTAATATACTTAATACTTATTTCCCGATTTTGATAACAACGAGATATCACCAAAATCAAAGTTCGTGTGAAAAGTTTTTTTTTTTACATAGCCGACGTTGCCAACGTAAAATTACAAAAACCTTTGTATAAAATAGCTAAAAATCTGACAACCGCTTATCAACTATAATTACTGGATATTAACACTAACTTGAATGTAAATTTAAAATCCGATTTAAAATTAAAATTGATTTAAAACAACTCTTTCCATGTGAAAATTAATACAATTGCTGAAGTGGCAAACAACAGAGTATCAGTATTAACAATGGCGTTATTGTACCTCCCACAGTATCACAATGTTAACCATAAAAAATTAGTTCTAAGACATGTATAAAAACAATTAGTTATACATAAAATACATTTAAATATACTGCAATATTTTTTGCAATTATTAACAAAACTGTTCTAATTTTTGTCAACTCAGTAATCAGTCGAAACACCAAAATGAACATAATAATATTTCCTATCGATAAATACAACATTTTTATTACCTTGGGTCCACGTCACTGAGAGAAATCACGTAAATTGATACAGCACAAAATCAATTTCAACATAAAACACGAACGATGTCGAATTTTTTTAATGAAAAAAACACTCAATGTAATCCGTATAACTTTGTACCTGAGAAACCTAAGCGATCGTACTCGGGACTCGTGTATTCCGCTATAAATAAGAAACCTCTTTGCAATTAAATCACGGAGTGACGTTCGGCTTCGGACCCCTCAAACATAGCTAATAGTTCTGATTGGTCGACGCAGAGCGTCTGACGCGTCTATGGTCGGTGGACTGTATAGTCGCCGCCGAGTATACAGGGAATTGAAATATTGGAATACAATTTTTTGTACTTAGTCGTTAAGAGGACGCTACTCATGCATTTGTTGTCTTCGTCTTACACACGCACGACATGGCAAATTTCCGTTCACTAGTTTCAATAGTGTGTTGTTAGTTTTAGTATTAAAGTTAATTAACCTATTTTAATATTTTTAGGTAAGAATATTATATGTGCTCAAGCGTCGGAGATTTTTCAATATTTTAATTTTCAAGCGAGATATGTATACGCGAAATATCAAAAATTAAAAATGCTCATATATCGTTTGAAAATTAAAATATTGAAAAATTGCTAACGCTCAAGCACAGATAATTTTCTTACCTAAATGTATTATAATTGGTCAATTAACACTAATATTAAAACTTACAACACACTAGTCACACTATTGAAACTAGTGAACAGAAATTCGCCACGTCGTGCGTGTGCTAGACGAAGATAACAAATACAAGAGTGCGTCCTATAAAAACGGCGTGACAACACAACACTGAACACACTACGTATACACTAGGTGCTAACTGTCGCCAGAACGGACGGCAGATGAAAATATTTGTGGTGGGTGACGTACACGAATTTCGAACAGTTTTCGTCCGCCGCCCAAGTCCGTTTTTTCAAAAATGAGATTAATATGTTCTTTTTTTCATGTGAAATTTTGACGTTTATGTCTTTTTACCTATCTTCGTTATAATCTCATGGCGCGTGTTTACTGTGATATTGGGAAGTAAAATTAAAAACGAAGTTCAAATATTAATTTTGATTTTCGATTTACGTATTATGATCCAAGTCGTCCTCGTACAGACTTGGACCCAATTGATGAAATTCCTATACTTGGCTATTTTTATTAGGATTTTTTGTGACTTAGGTTCAATTAATAACGTTATTATCATCACCATAATAACATGTTTTCATTATTTTATAAAAACAACTAAAGTTGTTAGTGAATTAATATATTAATTAATTTGAGTTTAATGATATCGAATCTAACATAAAAGTACAGGTTTAGTAGTTAGGATTATAATTGATATTAATCTAAATAATATGAACAGAAGGAGAAAACTTTTTTGAAGTCACTCAAATAACAATAATTCAACAAATTCTAACAAAAACAAGTTCAAAATAATATTATTACATATTATGTATTTTAAATTATATTAAAATATGTAATATAATATCATATGTTATTAGTGTTATGTGTTATTACTTATTAATATTGTTTATATTTTAGTTAATAATGTTAATATTATAATTTATAATGTATGTAACTACCCACCTACTAAAAATACACTACCACAGTTCATTCGACCGTAACTGAAGATTTTTGATGTATCAACTATGGTTCTAAATTAAAGACTGACTGAATAAAAGCCATTTTAGTTTTCATGATTAATACATTTTTTAAACCCATTGAAGTACATAAAAACCATTTATAATTATCTATCATTGGTTACTTTTTGTATATTTATACGAAATTTAGAATTCCTTAAATTGGCGAACACACGGAATAAATATAAAATAAATAGTTATTTTACACATTTTTAAAGTATTTAATAATTTTTTTTTTTTTTTGAGTGGGAAGGGGGTACAGACCCCTTGCATTGAGGATTGTCTAACTGCACTGGACAACAACGACCTTTACCATACGGAGAACAACACACATCCGGGAACACACCAGAGGCCGTCGACGGAATGACTTACACAAGATACTGCGGATTACATTTCTGTAACGATCATCGTTGTCCTCAATCACTGGACAGAGATCTACAGATCACTGAAAGGACAACACTGAAACAAAACGACGTATCCGCAAACGGTGCTTTTTTAAGACCAGTCACTCAGTATAAAATAACTTAAATCCTGAAATCCAGTGTCTATTAATAAAATTATTGTAACTATGACATTACTTTTTAAAATAATTTTCTATTTGAAGAGTGATTGAATATTTATTTCGTCCCTCACTCAAATTGAGTAATGAATTCATAATGTACCTATATGACGATTTAGAGTGTTAACAATAAAATACATTCGTGTAATTATTCTTGTTTGTAATAGGTATACAACAGAATATTAGATAATTTTAGGTCAAATAATAAAATAATATAAACACATAACAATAATGTAAATAGGTACTAAATAATATATTACACGTCTGTTCAAATCAATTAACCAACTACTCTTCGAGTTACTATTAATACATTTTTTATAATTATTTTAAGTTTTTATAAATATTATTTTTTCAGGCGTAATTAGAGAATTATACCTTTCTCATTAAAATTTACACTCATAAAATTTAAGAGCAAGAGACACTGTAGCACCTTAGTCATCCTGTGACTATGTGTTATTTATTTAATTTTAAGTATTATTTTTATTTTTATGCATATAGTTCAATATATTTTCTATTCTATCAATTTTTGGAATAAAATTTATTTTTGATATCATAATTCATTCTTGTAATAGAACGAGTCAAATTTATTAAAGTACTTATTCTGCCTGAAAAAATGATTATAATTTATAATTTTCACAAATTTACCATTATTGGCAAAAACTTTATAAGTTAAAGGATTTTTTCATGAATATTGTGTAGAAATTAACACGAGTAGTATTTATATGTTATCCATAAAATGTTCACTTATTTCACACTAATTTATGACACTGACCCTACTTTCTTGTGGGTATTATTAATTTACAAAAATCCATGTTTAGACTTAATCAATTCAATTAAAACAAAATTAATATAAACAACAATTTATGATTTATATTACTATATTAATATAAACACTAAATATAAACATTTATTAAAAATGTATTGTGATGTATGTCAAATGTTTAATAAAATAATATAATTTACATACTTAGAATTTTAATTTTTTTGAAAATGTAAATAGGTATGTATGTTTTATTCGATTAAAATTACATAAAGAATGAGTGAAAAGTTTACTATTGCTGCTCTCATTTATTTTTAAAACTTTAAATCAAAATATTTTTGAAGTCTTAGTAAAACTTAAGCTTATACTTTTTTAATGATATAATGTTGTTAATTGTAATATATTATGAAAAGTCGTGCAATCGCCACTATACCACTGCGTCCTAACTATATATTTTTATTGTTATATTTAGTAGTACCATCTAACAGTGTATAAAATTAAACCTTTTAAGTTTTTTTTTCAGTTAAAGAACATAACTAATAATGAGTATTAAATATAAATTACCATTGTCACTTTCATTGCACTGTTTTTTGTAACTGATTCATAAGTATAAATGTTTCATTTTAAATTGTAATACTACAATATCATATATCCTTTTAAAAATATATTTTATTTTTAATTGAATTTATTATAGATTTCAGTTTTGATAATGAAACACATTAAAAAAACTACAATAAAACTGAATAAAAGAAATTATTAAATTACATAATGTATAAATTATTAATATAAAAATAAATATACAGAATAAAGACTTGTTTCATTATGATAATGTTTTTATTTTAAGCTAAAACATTTATTCAGACAATTAAGATTTGATTGGTAATCAAAATTTAATTTTCTTATGGTTTATGTACCTGCTTTAAATTCAAATTTATGGAAATAAATTAATTCCTCCTATATTGATACAAATTTATAACAAAAATATTGGAAAGTAATATACCTAATAAACAAACTTTAATCATTAATTTGTAATTTAAAATTAAAAGAATAAGACGAACCAACCAAAATTGCATTAAATAGTATTTGTTTTGTGCAGCCATCTAATGTTTTTTCTAAAGCAAATATAATGATTTTTGAGTTAACCATTTAACATATATATGGAATATTCTATTTCTGCCTTCAACAACCATTGTAATCTGGTATAAAAATTAATAAAATTAAACTCTATTATAATATAATTAAAAGAAATAAAAACAACATACTTCTAATTCAATTTGATCATTTCCAATAAGATGTCTTGTGTTGTTTTGGCCTTCAAAAACTGGTTGAAGATAACAAAAAATTTTACCGTACGCTGAAACCATAGTTTGAAAAACTTCACAATTGACTATTTGTAGACATTTATTTGGTTTAATATTAATGTCATAAAGATATATATAATCATGTGGCACTGATATTTTAAAACGATTAGCACTAAGCACAAATAAACAACCTTTCCTTCCAATATTTGACCAGTATGGACAATTAGAGAAAACATACAATTTTTTATTAATGAACAGATCATAAATATCCAAAATTTAATTTATTAGAACACTTGGAAAATTTAAAACAATTTTGAAAGTAACTTTATTGGTTTTAGAATGATGGTACAATTAAAAAATTGTTATTCAAACCTTTGGAACTTAATCAACATGAATATTTAAAATATAACTATAAATATTTTAAATTATTCCTATGCATTTTACCTGGTACATTAATTTGCTTTAGTCGCAATGTCTTAGGTTGAAAAAATGTCCAACGCTCCAGATAGCTCTTGAGCTAAAACATTTAAGGTTTTACGAGTTATCAAAAAAACTTAATTAGAACATTTTGTTTTTAGTGTCAATTAATCATACAGTTATCAATTATGTAAAATATAAATGTTTGTTTATAAACGCAAATACCTAACTGTAGCACTTAAGGTACTTTCAGACTGGTAATAACATTGATATAGGAAGATTTCCCCAATGAGTTTGATTTAAGACATTTTTTCTAATATTGCTTGTTAATATACATTTAACACTTTTTTTTTTTTTTTTATAAGTAATTAACAATCTGTATCAGTATTAAA